AAGAAAAAATAAGCATGAAAAGCTCCCGAAGTTATTGAAGGAAAACATCTGCCCACCCCCCAACTATTGTAGGACATTCTGGAACACATTTTAACTAAGGTGACCAGCTTAAAGAAATGTCCTCAAAACCTTTTAATAAAATTAAAACAAAGGGATTTACCATTTATTTTATAATCATTATAACTGGATGTTTCATTGATAGTAACCAAAACTACAGATTGTTAAAATATTTCCAAAGAAACCTGGATGCAAACACACACTGATGGGCAATACACTTGACAAGAGTTTTGTTCCAGTTATTGACAAATATGTATGCTTTATCATTACAAGCAGAGGCGACTTGTACCTAGAGGTCTCTATCGAGTGCCGTGACCGGAAAACTAAGGCACTTGGAAGTAACATAACTATGTAGTGACCAAACTTGTTTATCACTCCTACACAGTAAATATGGAGTAAAATAAAAACACCTGTCAGGATTGAAACTAAAAAACAATAACAAAAAAAAAATACCCACAGGTTCCTCTTAAATGGCAATGCTATTAAAAGTTACAGCAATGTAAACAATTAATTATGGATTAAGTCACACTTTATTATGATCAAGGAACCAAACTCACAGTAGAAGAAAAATCAAATGGTGCTTGATTTCTATTTTTTTTTCATAATCATTAGCTCAAAACAGAGGTTTTCTTCGCCATTTATTGCCGCTCTCATCCTCATGTGAGACTCTAACTAGCCAAATGCTTCCGCCTTCACATTCTGGATTCAAGTTTCACTTTACCAACCAAAAGAAAGGACACTTTGCATTTGAGACAAGGTAACTGTAGGCTGAAGCTCCAGGGAGAGGACACAGACATGGCCCTTCAGCACTCTGACCCCCAGCTTTTCTTTTGGACTTGACTTTGAGTCTGTGCCCGTGTGTCACCTCTAATACCACCCACCATAACTGTACGGTAAATTCCAGCCTGGTTTTCATAATCCTGCTGACTACAGCAGTCTGCAGCCGTAAAAAGCCTCCACAGACCTGAAGTGTCTCAGCAAAGAAGCAAAAGTGTACTCAACACTGACGTTCACAGACAGGACAAGGCGAGAGCCTCCTGATTTACTGTTAATTGGTTTCAAAGATTGCTTCTAGGGTCTAAATTTAGAAAAATTACTTCTCTTTTGATGACTTTTGTAAACAAAATACCAACACTAAAATAAGCAGTTTAGGCAGGAGAAGGGGGAGTGTCCTGTCCAGCAAATCAAACCTTCTTCCAGAGGCCACTGGGGAGCCCTGACTCCTGCTACCTCGGGATTTTACTTGGGTCTGACCTGGCTACACTCCCTCAGTCCCTACGCCACAGGTATGCTTGAGACCTACGCCAAAGAGTCCATCTTTCAGAACAAGCTTTTCCCAAAGCTTTAGCCAACCAGCCACTGTCTCTGCGGATGGGGCTGAAAGCACTCAATAACTCTAACAAACTACAACAGCCGTTTTTATAAGCCGATTTGATAGACAAACACTGTAGTTTGAATTCCACTACCTCAGCTGCTGTGACCATGCTCCATTAGAGTTAGAAGGAGCTGCCAACAAAGTTAATAACAGGGGTCCAAGAGAAAACAACATTGAAATCGCCCCCTGTGAAAGGCCTTCGGCTTTCTGCAGGATAATTCAATTCCCCCATATTGTAAAGCAGATCATATTTCATATCAACAGTTAAAAACAAGCAACTCTTAATCGTACTTTAAAAAGACAAAAGATGCAAGCTACTTGCCTTTTGGCAATTTCTGTGCATTTCCCAGGGCAAGGGCAATACTTCCACAGAGAAGCAGACACCCCAGGCTGGAGAGCATGTTGCATTTGCCTGCTCACACGGGGAGTGATGCTCCTGGGTGCCTTGCAAGCCTGGAACTGCATTTAAGTGGACCGTCCTCCACTGACAGAGGCGGGCGGGCGGGCGGCTGCACGGAGCTCTGCCGTGGGCTTACTCACAGGGGGTGGAGACAGGATGACATCACACCCTTTCCCACACACTCAAAAAAAAAAAAGTAGGCACAACAGCAAAAACATATCATCACATTTCCCTCTGCGGCGTTGTAACTGTCTGCCTCCTCTGTTTCCTCTGATACAAGAACTGCAATTATGACCAATTATGACCACTCTGTTCAGGAAAGAACTTCTACCCAGGCCACTTTGAAACAGTTGATGAACTAGTTTAAAGAATAAAAAGGCATACTTAGACCCATCCAAACATTAACATATAAAATGGAATTTTATTAAGAAGGAAACTGTTTTTAATTAGCCAGGAAACCAATCCAATTCCTCCCTTCTAAACGGGAGTAAATCCATGAAAATATACTTTGAACTATTCTGCAGGTCTAACATTATGAGAAGCTTCAAAAGAGAGTCCTAAGCTCTACAGTTGTACACTGTGTACACAAGCATACACACATGGAAATACACACACATTGTGTGCATATAGGTGTATGCACATATTCCATAGGTGTGGATGTGGAGACAGAGAGGTAGTACACTACCTGATCCCCACACTGAGCTAGCCTCCGGTGTGGATGTGGAGACAGAGAGGTAGTACACTACCTGGTCCCCACACTGAGCTAGCCTCCGCAACCACCTCTGGCAGGGCGGCAATGTAGGAGCTATGGTGTTATCAATCTCCATATTCGCAGTAAGAGAACTGAGGTATGGAAAGAAAAGGTGTTCCAACCAAACAGGGTCTACTGAATAGTAATTCATACAGGCTTTGGAAGATCCCCCTTAACTGCTTTGAACAAACTTCTTTGCTATGTTGTCAACACTGTCTATATGCCAGGGCTTGCTCCCTGACAGACCTTCATCTAATCAATTTACACATTGCTAAGGCATTCATTCTTCAGACCCATCTATGATGAAGGCATTGCGACCACTCTCATTTTTGATAGAAAACCCAACAGAAGGAGATGAAGGAAAAGACTCAGTGTCACGGCACAAGTCCATAATGCTGGCATTTAAGTAGACCATGTGGCCAGAGCCTTCTAGTCTACCTTCTTAAGCTTTAAATTCTAAAATAAAGATGAGGGCTGGGGACATGCATGGCTCCCTCAGTAGAGTGTCTGCTACCCAAGCATAAGGCCCTTGGTTCAGATCCTACCACCCACAGCAAAAGCCGAACACCACAGCACACACCTGTAATCCCAGCCACGGGGAGACAGACAGGAGGAGCCCTGGAGCTTACTGTTGCAGCCAGTCTCACTGCATGGGGGAGTTCTAGAGTCAGTGAAATCTTGTCTCAAAAAATCAGGGTGAGAGTAACCGGAGACATCCCGTGTCAGCCTCTGGCCTCCAGAGGCACTTGGAGACACAGGTGCACAAACCTATCCATGCACAAGTGCGCAAACACATGAACGCATAGACGGGCAGGCAGTACCAGTTTTATCAACTCGCTAACAGCATCTTTGTATGGACCGTAGTGTCTGGCACACAGAAAGCATATACAATAGCGGTTGCCGAACACAGTCATAAATGACAGCAGCCAAGTCCATAATGAAGAAGAGTCATAATGGCTGCGTTTATCTGGAAAGCCCTTGAGTGTGTCCTGTTCTGCTACACTACGTTGCCTCAGTCACAACCTGGGGCGGCCGGATTCACTCAAGGCTTCGAGTGTGTGCATGTCCATTCCAATTCTTTGAAAATAGCTTATCTCAGGAGTTGCTATAACTAAACCAAAATCAGCCCGAGGGATGTAGGATGGCATCAGTCAAAGGAAGTGCAATGGAGTGGCTTTCCAAGAGAAAGAAGGAAGCCTAAAGAGACGGTGGCATCTTCCAAATACAGTGAGGGGAGGAACAGGCTGAGGTCATCTGTGGCTGACGGCCTGAGCCCTCACCATAGGAATGTCCTGGCACCGGCTTCGGAAGGGGCTGGGGGTATTGAACATGTTTCTCGGCTCTGATTTTCTGCTTGAACAGGCAGCTCCCTGCAACCTGAAATTCACGCTCACCCAGCGGTCCCTGCGGGCTCTGCGGTCTATAGCCCATAACCGCCAGGCTACGCCCGTGAGGCCAGCGCCAAAGGAAAGGAGAGATTCCTAAGGAAACAAACCTAGCAGAAATGGTGTAAAGGCGACTCGTTCTTCCAAACAGCGTGTGTGACGCTGACGCAGGACTTAGGTAATGGAATTCAGGGATCAGACTCAGCTTGGCCAGCAGACGAAGCCCAGTCCACATTAGAAGTCATTGTTTGCCGTTTGGAACCAAATGGACACCGGTGAAATGGAGGCCCGCCTCTAAGATTTTGTCAGGAAATAACGGTTGCGCTGCCATAGCCAGTAGGACAAACAGGCATTCAACAGACAGACGGACAGTGTGAGAGAGCTCAGGCCAGGGACAGGGCGTGGCTTGAAGAAATGGACCTCACACACAGGATGTTTCATTGTGACTAGAAAATATTCTGTCTTCAGAGTCCCAACACAAACAGGATGAACACATTCTTCCTCACATGAATAAGCCTTAGGGCTTTTGGTCACATAATCATAGGAAGGTTTTAGGCTATTCACAAGGAAAAATTGAACCTGACCTTGGGCACAGTGGAGATGACTTTGGGATTATTTGTGCGAACTCCAATAGGTTTCTCCATCTCCACTATTTAGATGACTTTTTAAGGCCCAGCGTCTTTCTTGAAAATGTAGAAATGCCAAACTCCAAGTCCTTGTGGGATGATAAGACTACTCTATTCGTTGTCACTGATATTTGTGAAAGATCATGAATCTTTAGGAAAAGAAAAAAAGAATCTTTAGGAAGATCTATTTGAAAAGCACACAGATGTCCTGATTATGGCCGTTTTTATGAAAATCTAGATCACCTGTTTCTTGATTATCACTGTCCTCGCTGTCTAGAAGAATACAATAGGGACATGGGAAGCACGTGTCAAAGGAAACACAACTCTCAGATTCCCGAGAATTCTCTAAGAGTGAGTCCTGGATTACTGCATTGAACACTGGAATACAACCCGGAATGTAGCTGCTAAGCCAGGTCTCCGAGGACCCTTCCGTTTCTACAGCTCTTATGGCTCATTCCCGATGTTTTAGGCTGTCTCCTCAAAAGAGGGCACTGCAACAGCCTTGGAAGATGGAACTATGTTATCATAAATGTAACATCCGTCTAGAGCAAACAGAATACATGGTCGTCTCCCAATTTGTTCCTGTTCTGTAACATACAGCGATCACCTATATTTATTTGTGTTGCTCTATAGAGAGTGGAAATCCAAGCTCTGATGAAATCACTTTTCAAGCTACTGTTACTGTTATGAGTAACACACTGGCCTTTGCCTTTGACCCAGGAATCTTGTGCCTCACGCCAGCATCCGTAAGCAAACGTGTGCTTTCTTGTGCATACGGTAAAAATCTTAGACTTCTGCAGGTCTGACAATAATTGGACCACTTTCAAACATTTGATTAGATCTTGCTTCATTATAATGACTACATTGAAGTCCACTGTAAGAATTAGCTGTGACCCTCAGTGTGCACTGTGTTGCTAGATGTTGCTTATGAAACCATATATAGTCTCTTTATTGTAACACTACAGAAAGTCTCTGACTGCTTTTCTCTCTAAAACTCTTGTGACTGGTTATTTTAGCAACCGTGTGTTCTCTCTGTAGCACTGTAACCACGCTTCCCTTTCTGCTCAGATTCCTAGAAAACCAGTGCCAAGTTTATCCCCACCCACACTGAGTGTATAGGTCTACGATGTACATTTTTAAAACATCATTCCTGCCTCTATTTTTTACCCACACACTCATTTCTTGCTTATTTTACTAAGAGTCCTAATTTATGTGACTTTCAAAGTTGTTTTAATTTCTTCTGGACCAAGGTAAAGTACAGCCAACTATCCCCACTCACAGGAGCTGTGTGAAGAACGTGTTAGACGTGTGTGAAGTCGAAACCTGGGGACCTGTTCTCTGTTTTCCCTTTCTACAAACAGTAGACACTAATGGCATTTATTACAATAGCCACATCGCCTCAACACACACACAGTCTCTTGGGAGGTGGGAAGGAAATGCATGCGTCTAGAGGACATCTAGAACACAGGTCTAAATAGATGTCATGCTCTTCAGTCTTTCCCTGCTGGTCTTTTAATTGCTCCAGATCCCAGGCTTCAAATGAAACTTACATAAATCTTTCAAATCTTGGAAGTGAACTGCTAGCAGCAATTTAACCTATTAGTCCACTATTTTTAGTCTCCAGTATGTTAGAAACCGTGGTAGAGGGTTTTTAAAAGCTTATATACATTTGCAATTAATACCATCTGAAGGTATGCTGTGGTTTTTAGGGATGCTAATAAAAATACTTTTAATGTGACTCAGTCTAAATGGGAAACCCAGCATTCTGCCTTTCAGCCCAAACCTCATGTCTATAATTACTGTGTTGAACGAGACTTATGATCCAACTGGACAAGCATCCTGCTCCAGTGAGGGTACACTTGGCCAGAGCATAGAACTTTCTGTCATATGCTTTACAGAGCACAGAAAAGTACTTAAGTGTTTGAGTTACATTTACAGGTCTTTCTTCAATCTATCTGAAGGCATCTTGACCTCTAGCTTCAGGTTTAACTATCTTGAGGTAATTAACAACTTTTATAAAAGAATGAGAAGAATTCTTGCTTTGGTATGGAAAGACCAAACAGCCATTAAATGTTCCATCTCTAGGTTGTGAAGTTGGCCTCTGGCCCAGCTTAGTGTCTATAAACACAACAGAATACCAGAGAGTAGGTAATCTGTAAACAACAGACGTTTTTCCTGCAGATCCAGTGGTGATGACCAAAGCCATTGGTGCTTACATGTGGCAAGATCCCTTGAACCAAATCCTAGTATAGTGAGCAGTATCATGTGAGAAAAAGGAATAGACTCAGGTTTATAATACTTCTGTTATCTTATTATTTCACTCTCTGATCA